CTTACTTAGTTTTGCTACAAATGATCCAACAAAATTCAACTATCCTCGAAACAATTATATTAATTTGGAAGTCTTATATCAAAATATGACCTTTGAAAAGGTATTTTGTTCAAATGAGTTTAAAGTGGTACATCATAATACAAATATTTACGTGTGTCATCCCTTTTATGAAACAAACAGTTAAAGAAACTCTTCTCGAACACGAAACGAAATTTTGCCAGCCGAAAGTCCCTGATTCTCAACATATTGCACACAGTTCACGCTATTTCGCAACAAAATACTGCTGCAGTTGCGGTAATTAAAATATTACATTAAATTTACTTATGACTCCATCTATAAATAATTAACGAAAAAATTTTACCTTTTAGAATACGACATCTATATGCACGATATTAGATATTTTATTTATGCCAGAATATAATGCAGACCAGCGCATTATGAAAGAAGCGTTCACCATAATACCCGTTGTCCTTTTCACTAAAATTGAAAATAATAGTATACACGACGTGGAGATCGTGAATAAGGTATCTTTTGATATTTAACCGTTTCTTTGGCTCATCCATGCATTTGGTATTTAACATGATAATCTCTTCTTTTTGGGGGAATAGACATTACAAACAATTCAATTTTTATCTTTAGATTCAAAAATAGAATGTCGCGGAATGATTTTATTACTCGAAACAATGCATAAATTGCTTCGCAACAAAGTTATGGGGGAATATATAATGCTTAGTAGATTCGGAAAAGAATGGGCTGACACTCTGATATTCAGAGCGTGTGATCCACGTTGGGATATTCGTGATTCTATTCTAGAATTTATTAGTTTATTATTTAATGATGTTCGTTATATATATCAAAGAAAAAATTTTGACTTTATTCTCGTTTTTCAACATCTAAAGTGAAATTATGTATTATGTTTAAATATCTTTAGTCGCCAAATTTTGGTCGTGGGGTGGATTTCGCCCTTAATTATCATTTACCTAAGGTCGTGCTCGCAAAAATTGATGATGATCAACCTTATGTTCGTGCTTCTTGCCTGAGAGCGATTAAAGTAAAATTGTTTTAGAATTAATTTGATATTTTCATAGCCTTGTACTTAGTTAAATATTTTAAGTTAATTATAGGCCATTGTTCGATATCCGAAAGGTTGGCTATATATTGTGGCTGAAGAAATGCAAAGGGATATCGCGTTAAAATTACCTTCAATGGTGAAAGATTCTGAAGCTTTTGTGCGAAGAGCTGTGATGGAATTAATGACTTGTCTAATTGATGAACGAGAATGCGGTGCAATTTTGTTGAATGATCGAAATGCAGATATTATGAGGTCTGTATTTCTCTTTTTTTTTATCATTTCTAGAATTCAAATTTTAAATCCAAAAAAAAAACTGTTTTTTTATATTAGTCCTGAAGTGATGGACAAAATCATGGACGATCCAGATTTTTATGTTCGAATTAATGGGTGTAAGTTTCTGATATCCGTATGGGATCATTGTGAACAAGATCGATTGAGTTATGGACAAAAAAGGACGAAGCATAATATATATTTGAGTGGTGGTAGTTTACTGATAGGAAAAAACTCCTCTTGGTTTTATTGGCTGGATGGTGATAAATTACTTGTCAAGGCTGTACGTATTATCAATGAAAATGAAATTTGTTATTTGTAATTAAGGCGGTTAAACATAATTTATTTATATAGGCCGAAGATCCAAGCCGACTAGTTCGTGGTGAAGTACTTGTAATTCTTAAAAGGCTTAAATTGTATCTTGAAGAGATAGTTGCGACCCAAGAATTGAATTCGTCATTTTCATTACCAAATAGTATTGACGATTCTCAACTTTCACATAAAAGACTTTTTGATCAACCATCTTCATTAATGCAAAAACATTTTAATTTTTATCAGAATATTTGTCTTATTGATTATGAACGACTTGAAGCAACTATTAATGTTGAACATTTGTACGAAGAAGCACTAGATAGTGTCACTACAAAGATGATGACAGATGCGGATATAATGGATGATGATGATGATGATCGTGCTATGGACTGTTATTTTTAAAAGTTGTTGTTAATTACTGTAAGTGTATATTATGATTAATTTGATCATGTCATCACTACGTTAGGACTTAATTAATGTCCGCTTATCATTACGATGACATTCCATGTATGCGTGAGCATCTTATTATTAAAAATAATATATTTTTTTATTTATTTATTTATCTTGTAGAATTCCATATGATGATCAACTTCTTTTACTTAATTCTTGTTTCATAACTAGGTTTTTATATGTCGATGCTATTTTTTTCCTTTTTTTTTTTAAAAAAAAAAACAAAGATTCGCTAATTTGTCTTATGGACGTATTTCATAGCACCGTTCATCACGTAACGATGTGATATCAAATAGAAACATTTGTGACGAGTGTTTAAGGCATTGTTTAAAATTAGGGATTGGAAGCGGTCCAATCCGGTCCGGTCTTCAAAAATATCGAACTTCTATAAGATAATCGGTCTTTTTTTTTTTTTTACTCTTTGAGACCGATCTTTTAGACTTGTAGGTCACAAAATTTCTGTTTTTTTTTTTTAAAAAAAAAAAAGAAATAGGTAAGTTTACGCCTCAAGAGCCTAATATCAGATAACAGATTTTCGGTAATAAATGTAATAAATCCAAATTGAGTACATTTGGAAACAGTCATCCTAAAAATGAATAATAGAATTAATAATATATATCAATTATATCAATTGAAAATTTGGTTTGCAAAAAAA